AACTGCTAACCAAAACAACTCTTTTCACGCTAGCGGCGTGAAAATCACGCTCGCATCTTGTGAACTCTGAATCCATCTTACCGTGTTGTATGTTTGGGGCGTTTATACAGTACAGAGGAGAAGGAAAATGGGGGGGGGGTTAAGATGCCAGTAGTGCAGCGGCGGCGCCGGGACAGCTCATCCAAAGTTTGACATATTGCTGCGTCAGGCTCGGCAGCAGACCCTTGCCAGAGAGGAGGACCCTCAGCCCCGTCCTCACCTTGCAACAACTCTCATCATAACTTCGTCACAATCCTTCTGCGAGCAGGAGCAGGCGTGCTGCTGCTGCTGCGCTCTCGCTCGGCTGCACTGCATTGCATACTGCTCCGGGCCGCAGGCAAGAGCAGCACCACGCACACAGGTCATACCAGGTGTTGTCCGCATCGGCTAATTGCCAATCTGCATGCTGCCGGCGGCCTGCCTTCCGCGTGCGCGCGAGCGTGGCAGCCGGTGGCGGCGGTACCCCGGGGCGGCACTCGCCGGGTAGGGCGGGGCGTGGCGGGGTGGGTCTTGGGGGCGTGTATATTAATGCGGCCTCGCTTTGCTATTGTAGCTGGCGTGCCGGGTGCCGGGGGCGGCGGGTCGAGCGGCGGCGGGTACGCGTCGCGACGCTGCATCGCAGTGCGTCGCGACGCCCCAGAGCAGGTGGCGGCGGCGGCGGTGTGGTGGTGCTGTTGGTGTGTGTGGCCTAGACGCACCGGCCTGTTTACGCTGGGGCGCCCGGCGGGTGGCGGCCGGCGGCGGCCAGTGCGGAATCACCTGATGCTAATTATATATTCAGCCCGGGGGCCGGCAGAGGATAGGGAGGGAAAGAGGGGGAGATAGAGGGAGGGAGAGGGACGGGGAGAGAGAGAGAGACAAAGAGAGACACAGAGAGAAACTGAGAGAGAGAGAGAGAGAGAGAGAGAGAGAGAGAGAGAGAGAGAGAGAGAGAGAGAGAGAGAGAGAGAGAGAGAGAGAGAGAGAGAGAGACAGAG